GGCTTGCCGCCTTCCCGCGTCCAGGCCCCCCGCGCGCCCTCGCCCCCGCCGTTTCCACGCGGAGTCCGGAGCCGGGCCGGGCGGCCGCCACCGCGCTTGTTACCGGCCGGCCTTGCCCTCGGCTCGCGGGTCCGCGCCCGGGACTTTGCCTTCGGCCTGCTCACAAAGCGTGTAAAAGTTGGATTTCGTGTAACTGAGCTGTGGGCTTAGAAACGCAGGGCGAATTTCCTTGGTCCTCTTCCCCCTTCCTCGTTCTTTCCACACCCCTCCTCTTCGTATTAGTTTCTTCTTTGAGAATGACTTCGCAGGCTCCCTGTGGAATGTTTTTCTGCAGTTATTTTTTGTTTTAATGGGAAGTACAGTTCAGCAAGTACAGGAAAATAACATGTTTACTAAGGTATCTTGCGCGAATCTCGCTTCAATGTTCTGACAGTTGCAAGTACTGCAGTTCCATTTTAGAATCTAGAAATGTTTAAAGGAACAATCTTTCAGTTAGTAAGGAGTGTGTCTTAAATTCCTGATTCGAAGCTTCTCAAGCATGAACTTGCATAGCAATAAAATCACTTCATACTTACTTGTCATGAACAGTATATTTTCCACAAACTACGTGTACAGCAAGCATTAATTTTTTTACAAGTTACATTGAAATATAATCCCCATTCTGTATAGCACAACCATTATACAAGAATACATTTCAGAGGTTTCTTGTGTTGAGAGTTGTGCTCATATTACCATAATCGATTTTAGGACAATTTCATCATTCCAAGAAGAACCCTATACTCATGAGGAGTCACTCTGCATTTTCCTTTTGCCCCAGCCCTGAACAGCTTATGTATAGTTCTGCCTCTATACATTGGTCTATTCTGTTTTTTACTGTGTAACTAGGACCATCGTGGTTGGCTTCTTTCATTGTTTTCAAGGTTGAGCCCTAAAATAGTGTAAGTAGTACCAAGTTCCTTTTTATGGCCAAATAATATTCCACTTTGTATTTTTCTTAAGCATTCATCGGTAATGGACATATAGTTTCCCTTTCCATTAGTGTGAATAATCTTGTCATGCACATTTCTGTACAAGTTTTTGTGTGAACAGGTCTTTGTGTTTGCATATAGAATTGTCCCCAAATTGTTTAACATCCAAAGGGGCTGCCATACTCTTTTCCAGAGTGGCTGCAATGTCTTACAATACCAGCAGTGTCTTAGTGTTGCAGATTTTTACATGCTTACCAGCACTTGTGTTATAGATTATATCTAGGTTAACCCCCCCCCCCCCGCCTGCCCTCAGGGCCTCAGAGATGGGGCCTCTGGGAGGTGACAGGATCTTGGGTATGGGGTACTATGTTAGTCCGTTGATGGGCTTATGGCTGGTTGCCCTGTTGAGAGGGAAAGTCTGGTGGGCAGAGGTGGGCTACTGTAGGCATGGCCTGGAAAGGTGTATATACCGTATATTGAGAGGGTACCTTCTACTCCCTTGATTCCTTGTTTGCTTCTTGCCTGCCATGCCATGACTGTTTTGCCCTCTGCCATATCTGTCTGCCTTGCTGTCCTACCTTGGAACCAGTCAACTCTGAGCCAAAAACATTTTTGAACTGTGAGCCAAAATAACTCTCCTTTAACTTACAGGTATGGGGTGTTTTACCCCAGCAATGAGAATGTAACTAAGACAATTGTAGTATGTCCTTTGTTTTTCAGAGACAGTGTCTCCCTGTGTAGTTAAGGCTGTCCTCTCACTGTCTGTAGCCCAGGTTGGCCTTGATCTCCCTGAAATCCTCTTGCCTCAGCCACCCAAGTGCTGGGATTACAAGTGTATGCCACCACACCAGGCTGCCATCTGTCTTTTTAATTATGATGTAGCATAAAAATGAGTGGATATAAAATAGCATCTCATTGTGATTTTGAGTAGCATCTCTTTAAGGCTAGTGTTGTTGAGCATATTTTCACATATTTATTGTCCATTTTTATATTTTGTTTGGAGAACTGTTTGGATCCATTCCCCATTTTTAAATTCTTTTTAAGGCTTGTATGAGGTTTTAAAAATGTGTTCTGCATGTAGTTATCAGATAAATAATTTGGAAATATTTCTCATTCTGTAGGCAGTCTTATTTTCTTGATGATATCTTTTTTTTTTTTTTTTTTTTTTTTGCGGAACTGGGGATTAAACTCATGCCCTTCCGCTTGCCAGGCAAGTGCTTATTCTACTGAGCCATCTCCCGGGCCCCTTGTTAATATCTTTTGAAGTACATAGTTTTAATGTTGATGAAGTCTTGGTAAAGTTCAACTTTTCTGGGTTTTTTAAATCACTTGTGTGTTGTGATGTGTATTTTTATAAGGGTTTTATATTTTTAACTCATCTCTAGATTTGTAATCCACTTGAGATCAATGTTTTTGTGTGTGATGCTAAAACAGGTACAATTTCATTTGTTTGCATCCAGGTATCCAGTTGTTCTATCGCCTTTAGTGGAAAAAGCTCTTTTTTTTCCCAATTGAATTGTTGTGGTACCTTATCAAGTGTAAATTGACCAGAGATGTATGAGTGTGTCTCTGAGTTTTCAGTGCTACTACTTTGGCTATTTTATATTAGACATTACCATACTGTTTTAATTATAGTAGCTTTCTGTAGTGTGCTTGGAATCTGAAAGTGAGTCCTTCAGGTTTTTCTTTTTAAGATTATTTTGGCTATTCTGGGTCTCTTGCCTTTTCTTATGAATTCTAAGATTGGACTGTCAATTTTAAATGTTGAGTTTTACAGTTGCACTTTAAAAACACTTTTATGAAGATTATTTTAAAAATTGATGTTCTTTCAAATGTTTTAATTATTTATTTATTTTTGTTTGTTTGAGACTTGAGACAAGATCTTGCTATGCAGTTCAGGCAAGCCTTGACCTCACTGTGTAGCCCAGGCTGGCCTTCAACTCAAACTCGAAGTGATTCTTTTGGCCCAGCCTCCCCAGTGCTGAGATGCATTGTCATTCATACCTGGCTGTTTTGTATATTTTTGGTTGTGTTAGTTTTTTAAAACTCTTTTATTTATTTATTTATTTATTTATTTATTTGGTAAGGGTCTCCCTATGCAGCTTGGACTCTTAGTGATCCTCCTGTCTCAACCTCCCTAGCACTGGGATTACAGTATGTTAATGTTTTAAAATTTGTTAATTCCAATTATATCTTACCATTTATGTATTTATTTATTTATTGTATTTGGTAAAGGGTCTCACTATACAGCTCAGACTTGTAGTGATCCTCCTGTTTTCAGCTTCCCCAGTGCTTGTGCCTGTGCCACCAGGCCTGGACTCAGTGGCTGGCTTAGTGTGCGTGGGGGCGGGGCTGTGGCATGTGGTGCTGGGTTTCAAACCGTGGTCCCTGTGCATGCCTAAGCAGGTGCTTAGTCTGCTGAGCTATCTTGCTGGCCTGTATCTTAACATTTAAAAGTTATGTTTTATTTTTTAAATGGAGCGTTGGGGATAGTCTCGTTTGTTGTTTTTGGCTATTTTGAATAATACTTTTCTGAATATTTTTGTACATATTTTTGGCGCTCTTTGCTTGTCCCTGTTAGAGAAATGGGAATAAACTTGAAAATCTGAAATCTGCAGAGAACTCAAAATCTAATTTATACTTCAGTTTTTGCCTTCTTTTTTACAAATATGAACAAATAGCAAAGCAGGCCATTTTTTTCCCCAGCTTGAAATTAGGGTAAAAAGCTCTCATTTGGAGTATTAAGAGCTTCTGAGGAGATGGGTGTCAACTCACACGCTGGCATTTCTAGTACTGA